GAGAGAGAGACAGAGAGCAGAGCATGAGTCAGGGAACAGCAGAAGGAGAGGGAGACACAGAAACTGAAGCAGGTTCTAGGCTCTGAGCTGTCAGCACAGAGCCTGACATGGGGCTTGAACCCACAAACTGCGAGATCATGACCTGAGCTGAAATCAGATGCTTAACTGACTAAGCCAACCAGGTGGCCCTATAATCTTTATACATTTTAATGACTTGTATTATAATTCATAATTCATGTAACTTCTAGTAATTGGATATTTCTGTTTAAAAATATTTGTGTTTGTAAATACTGCTGTATCACTGGGACTTTAGATCTGTGTTTTGTACTATATTATATTTTTGGGAGAAGGTCAGGGAGCATAAATATTTTCATGGCTCCACAAGAGGTAGTTTGAAGATAGAAAAACTCCTCTAAATTATAGCAAAGGTGACTGAGGTCTCTGTAGATCCATTTCTTTTCTGTCCCACAGTACATAATTCTGTGCTTTTTTTTTTTAATTTTTTAAACGTTTATTTATTATTGAGAGACAGACACAGAGTGTGAGCAGGGGAGGGGCAGAGAGAGAGGGAGACACAGAATCCGAAGTAGGCTCCAGGCTCTGAGCTGTCAGCACAGAGCCCAAAGGGGGGCTTGAACTCACAAACCGTGAGATCATGACCTGAGCTGAAGCCGGATGCTTAACCGACTGAGCCACCCAGGCACCCCAATTCTGTGCTCTTTTATCTAATGAGGTCTTGATGGTTTTTGTTTACCAATATATGTGGACATTTGTATGACACACTGTTAGGTGTTTGCTTGTCATATTTGCTATAGCTTCTATGTCCCAGAGAGGAAACATTATTGTGATCAAGATAGTTATGGTCTTTAATGTGAAATTAGTGGGAATAAGAAGGGGTAAGACTGGAGAAAGGGGAATCAGAAGGGTACAGGGATCTAAAGAGGAGACGACAATGTTAATGGCTTGGGGAAGGAGACCATAGTGGAAATAGTAGTAATATTTTGCATTTGTATAGTATTTTCCAGTTTATAGAAAATATTTAAAAATCCATTGTCTTATTTTGAAATGGAGAGAAAGGATGAATCCTACATGCACTGCAAAGAAAGAATGAGTGGGACTTGGTGACTGGTTATATAAAGTAGTAAAGAAAGATTACAGTGATCTAAAATGGATCAAGTGCAATTATCTTGAGCAATCAGGTGTTTACCACACACTTAAGTTTATTTACTTATTTTGAGAGAGAGAGAGAAAGAGAGAGAGAGAGAGAGAGAGAGAGAGAGAGAGATAGAGGGAGTGGGGGAGGGGCAGAGAGGGAGGGAGAGAGAGAATTCCAAGCAGGCTCCACACTGCCCAATGCAGGGCTCCATTTCACGAACTGTGAGATCATGACTTGAGCCGAAATCAAGAGTCGGATGCTCAACAGACTGAACCACCCAGGTGCTCCTAATATACGCTTTTTGATTAAAAGGTGTTTCTTTTTACCAACATCATGATTCTCATTTTATAGATATGAATTCTGCACTTTTGTAAATTGCTTAGTGTGTGTACATGAAAACCAATTTCTTTGCTTCTTTTTCTTGAAAGAGAAAATAATTTGAGGTTGGTCTGAAATGTTAACTATCTGACAAAACTCAATAAATCCAGCCAGGAAAACATCTAGCTCAACTTTTATAACACATAACACTGACATCTTTTTGCAAACATGATGTATTGACAAATGAATTGAAATAGATGGTTTTGACAGCATTAGTCATGGGTCACATTGCTCTGGGCAGAGATATCACAGTCATCATTTGAATTAAAGAGACTCCTTTAATATAAAATATTTATCTTGGGTGGACAGGTTAACATTCAGAATTAATGTTTTCACAAAATGCCAGATTAATGTATTTAAGTAACAAAAAAAGGAATAGATTAAAGGAAGAAATATTCCAAAGCTTCAACATGATTAAGCATAACATAAACACAGATTGGATATTAAATTTATCCACTAATTTTTCTACCCTTGCCTTGGCCAAGGTGGTGTTGTCTTCAGGAGCCTCATGTCAGCTCGGGCTCTTTGTCTCTACCTCTCCCCTCTTGATGAGCCAAACTCATCTTGGATGTTCAGTTGTTTCTGCTTGGGTTTTTCAAGGGCAAGTCCTTTCTGTCTTGAATCTATGTGGTTTTGAGTCCAGGTGGTGATTGACCTATTTTGTTCTGTTAAATCTTACATTCTCTTTGAAGCTTTAGGACCTAATCTGAAAGGGTCAGAGGAAGAAAATCTCCCTTGGGGAAGCAATTGTACTTCAGCACAGAACCATCGATGTCCAATCTATTGACTCATCTGCTCTGAAGCACAGGCTGTTCTTCTGGGTTAGTCTTGCACCTGCTTTTATATGCCTTCCCATTGGAGCTCAGAGGTCTTTCAGGGCCAACCAGTTCCACCATCCATAATCTTCAGTGAAGCCTGGTCCCAGCTCATATCAATATTCAGAAACTGAACAGCATGACCTTTCATTAAATGCAAATACGAATGAGTCAAAGAATTTTGTGCTGGTTAACCCTTAAGATGACTGGGTGGTTAATAAATTCATGATGGAAAAATTACTACTTTGGATGGGATTTTAAAAGGACTGTAATTATGTTTCTTTGGCAAAATTAAAATTTGATGGTGTAAAAAGAAAACCACAGGCCCAAAATTGTAACAGTTATTGTTTTTTAAGAAAAATTAAGATTTTATTTTAAAGTTTATTCATTTATTTTGAGAGAGAGAGAGAGAGAGAGAGAGAGAGAGCAAGCAGGGGAGGGGCAGAGAGAGAGAGAGAGAGAGAGAGAATCCCAAGCAGGCTCCAGGCTGTCAGTGCAGAGCCTGACATGGGGCTCAATCTCATGAACGAGGAGATCATGACCTGATCCAAAATCAAGAGTTGGACACTTAACTGACTGAGCCATCTAGGTGCCCCAAAATATTTTATTTTTTAAGTAATATCTACACCCAACGTGGGGCTCAGACTTACAACTCTGAGATCAAGATCGCATGTTCTACCAACTGAGCCAACCAGATGGCCTATGGTGTCACTTATGTTAATGCCCCATGTCACTAAACCAATACTTAATACCTAAGTAACCGTAGTTTCAATACTCACCCCAGGAATGTAGGCTTTAACCACCCAAACTGTCAACACTAGTAGGTCATTTCCTAGTAGACCCCTTTGATTCCCCTTAGGATGGTGACATGCCTAAAGCAATGCATTCCTTGGTAATAATACATTCCTTTTTTTTACACCCCTTCTCTGTCTTTAAAAATCTTCCATTTTTGTACAGTTCCTTGGATCCCCCTGTATTTGCTAGATGGGATGCTGCCCAATACACGAATCACTTAATAAAACCAATTAAATCTTCAAATTTACTTGGTTGAATTTAGTTTCTTAACAATGGAAAATTGGGGAACAATTGCCTAACCTAGATAATAAAAGCAAAGTCATAACCCTTTTAAATTTGTTTGTTTGTTTGAATGAGATAGGGGAGGTTGGGAGGGTAAGAATGAACTGGGAGAACATAGAGATCTGTATTTGGAACATGGACAAATGTACTTGGCAATTAGAAACAATAATATTAATCATCACTGTTTTAACTACACCTTATAAACTGACTACTTTTCAGGGAAATTGAATTTTGTCTACACTACTGGATAATGTCTGGAAAAATAATTTCCCCACATGAAGGCCTTAGATCAACTTCCATTTATGCTTTTGATCAAAATGCCATTTGGCTCATTTGTTGCAGGAGCGGTGTAAGGTATTTGCCTTTTATTATAGTGTCAGTTATAAGTTTGGTTTATTATTGAGTAAATGAATTGAAAGCTTCCCTGAAAATCTGAGAGAGAAATGTTCAGGAAGGAGTTCATACCATTTGTGGATAATTGGTCGCACAATTTGCTCTTCTTTGTAGAGAGAGGCATGTGTTTGTGATGGACATAACAGCTACCTCCATGACCCCACTATCAGAAAAGTTTCTCATGTCTCAAGTTCTTGTTCGGTGGAACAAGAATGAATGGGAAGAATGTCACACAACACACTGACTTGCTGTGAGGTGTAAAGAAAGTACTTGGAATAATGCTTCTTTCTTCGTGAAAACTTTGAGTGAAGATTAATGACTTGAGATAGTGGCCTCCAAATTCTTTTGGTTATAGACACTAATCAGGTTGACATTTGAGCACCCCCATGTGTGTGTATTTATTTATAATTTATATACATATATTATTGGAAATTTGTCTATAAGCATGTCATTGTTCACCAGGTTCCTTTCTTCCCCCAAGTCCTTTTTAAAAAAATTTTTGCTTTTATTCAGGTCTGAGGTGGAATATCAAGAGTTGGGTTTTGGAAATGTAAAATCTGAGAGATTGAGGAGACAGGTGAAATAGTTGAGATTAGAGTTGGGGAGAGACGTGTGGGCACAGATACAATATGAATTTGGGATTTGTCAAGATATGGTCAGTGCATCAATTCACCAAGGGAGTGAGTGAAGATAGAGAAGTCCAAGGACTGAGTTCTGGAGCATGGCAACACTGGGAGTTGGGCAGAAGGGCAGGAGTCACCAGTGTAAAGACCAGGGAAGAAGGAGGAAAACCAGGTGAAGTGTGGCATCCTGGATCCCAGGAAACAAAGCATATTAAGCAGGGCATGATCAGCTATGTCAAATGCTGATAGGTCAAGTAAGATGAAGACTGATAAAGGGCTATTCGATTTATCCATGGTTATTGGTGGCTTTGACACAAGCACTTACAGGGGCATTGTGAGGCAAAGCCTGGTTGGAATGGGTTTTTAGAAAGAATGCGAAAAGGAGAAACCAGAGACAGCATGTACTCTTTGGAGGAGTGATTATTATAGGAGAACAAGGAAGTGGGTGGTACCTGTGGGGGAGAGGCACGAGTTTTCTTACTTGCTTGTTTTTTGTTTTTTGTTTTGTTTTGTTTTGTTTTTAAGGTGAGAGAAATAACTGTGTTTGTGTGCCGACAGGCTGGCTCGAGTTGGTGAGAAGGAAGTGAGTGTCATATGCAGGAGGACCTGGTGCACAGGTGGAAGGACTGGCTGACATGCACGTGGAGAGTTCATCTCTGATGATAGGTGAGAAGGCAGCCTGTGTTCTCAAAGACACTGAGAGTCTGAGGTACTGGGAGTGGTGGAAGTTCTCTCAAAATGCTTCAATTTTCTCTGTAAAGTAGGAAGCAAGACTGCTTCCTCAAAGTGAGCTGGGGGACACACTGGAAGTTTGAGGAAAGAGAAGAAAGGGTAAAGTATTTGCCTGAGAGTGTGGGGCAGAATGGGCTAGGGAAAGGATAATATGCTAGTTGGGCAGCATTCAGGGCCCAATAGAAGTTTGTCAATTTAAAGTGTTTTTTTTTAAATATTTATTTATTTTGGGGAGAGCAAAAATAAGTGGGGGAGGGGCAGAGAGAGGGGTACAGAGGATCTGAGTGTGCTCTGTGCTGACAGGCTGACAGCAGCAAGCCTGATGTGGGGTTCGAACTTACAAACCTCGAGACCATGACTTGAACCGAAGTGGGATGCTCAATTGACTGAGCCACCCAGGCACCACTTTTTTGAAAGTTGTTGTTGTTGTTGTTGTTGTTTTTAGGAAGTTTGTCAATTTAAATATGCATCAGCTTAGCTGTTCTTCAGCCATGTTCCACGTGTGGAGCAGGCACAGGGTGGATTCAACCAGAGTTGTAGTTTGCCTGAGTGAGGATGCTTTTCCTGAAGACAGGCAAGTGAGTTGAGAATAAATGAGGGAGTGATTAAAATGATTGTCCAAGCAGCAGTGTCATTTCTTCCTTTCTGCTGTAGGCTCAAGTGGCTGCTGTTGAGATGGGCAAGTTCATGAAACCTGGGAAGGTGGTCCTGGTCCTGGCCATAAGTTACTCCAGATGCAAAGTAGTCATCATGAAGAACGTTGATGATGGCACCTCAGACCATCCTTAAACCATGCTCTGGTGGCTGGAATTGACCACTCTCCGTGCAACATGACAGCTGCCATGGGCAAGAAGAAAATTGCCAAGAGGTCAAAGATCAAGTCTTTTGTGAAAGTGTGATACCATAACTACTTTTTATTAACCAATGTCTTGACCCTCCAGCAACTGGATGCAGCACACAGTGTGCTTTCTGAGGTCCCTGTTAGAGCACATCACTGGTCACTCTCCCAGGAAACAGGGTGGGGATGTTAGTGACACAGCAGTTGGGCAGTGAGTTTGGGAAACACTTTGGGATTTACACAAGGATGTAGGAGAAAGAAGAGAGAGGAAAAAGAGGAAGAAGTAGGTGAAGCAGAAAGGAACAAGTAGAAGAGGAGGGAGAGAAGGCAAAGAAGGAGGAAGAGGAAATGAAGGAGACAAGTGGGGATCAGTCACGATCCTTATCCTCATGTACATTCAATTAGCCCATAACATCTGTCCTCCTTACGACTGACAAGGTAGGGGATTGTTGGGGAGGAAGACCTTCCTCTGTCCTATGGTCCTTCTAACTGGACTTAGAATCAAATTGACATGAGACAGATTAACAGGAGAAAATCAAATTTAATGTGTGTATGTACGGGGAATCCACACAGACATGAAATTCTGAAGATAATGAACAACATGAAGCCTACATGAGCTAAGAACAAAGCTAAGGGCCTGAGGCCACAAAGGGGAGGAAAGTCATTAGCCCAGAAGGTGAGAAGAGATGCTTGGAAAAACAAGATTGTTCTATCGTGCAGTGGAGTTCCCTTGGTAAAAAGGGGTCTCGGTTAGTACTTCTCTTTCTGTTGCAGGCTCTCCTTTCCAGTGTAAATTTAGGCAGTTATGGGGGAGGCAGAAAGCCTTTCTGGTATCTGCTGGGTTTTTATTACTTTTAACTCGAAATGATCTTTATACCAAAGTGGCGCATTTTGGCATGTCTCATCCTGTACCCCTTCAGGATGGTCACTTGTTCTCAGGCTGAGGATGCCCTCAGGTGACTGCCACCCCTAGACTTGCTTTGATTTTAAAATGAACTACCCCTCCCTATTTTCATTTTTTAAGAGTTAAGAATTCATAAGCCAAGAAGGTAGCATCTTGTACAATACATGGTTTTTGTTCAACACTCTCCCTACCCTCCTACCTATTACAGACTTTTTCGCTCAAATGGGAAAGGACAAGGGGTCTTGTTTTGGTGCTGTGCCAGCACCAACCTGGGCAGGAGGTATTTGCTGATTCTTCCGTACTGGACACCACTGGGAGCTCCTGAGAAAGACCAAAAGATTTTATTAAATACACACACATTTATGGCAACATTCCTTCTCTCAGAAAGATTACAACTAATCGCTTCTCGGCCTTTTGGCTAAGATCAAGTGTAGAAAGATTACAACTTACCTGAAATAATGGGCATATTAAACAAGTACAGAAAGTGTTAACTGATAAAGAGTGAATATGAAAGGGTCTTGAGCAGGGTCATAGGCTAGAACCATCCTGCAGGTGTCAGAGGAGAAGGTGGCTTTTGTAGGACAGCCTGTCAACAGCTTTGAAAAGGCTTTGCCTGCCAAGTCTCAAAGGAAGATATTTTACTTTCCTCAAACAGATAGAGCCCCCGAGCTAAAATGTTCACTTCTTGTGTCATGCTTGGGGCTCAGGGCTATCAGAGATGAAAGGACTGCAGTGTTTGGGGGAGAATATTAATTCCCCGTTTTCTTTTCAAGATTGGGAGCGGGAGGGATATGTAGAGAAAGAAAACGCAAGAGCGCTACAAAGTGAATTGCAAAGAAAGCAAAAGATTAATCAAGTCCCAGCACCACTTACCCCTGCTTCTCTGCATCCCATGTGTCCTGCTCTGGTCCTGGAGAAAGTAAATATTAACTTCAACCGAGAAAGTAAATTTCTGCCAAATTTCTGGCCAAAGGTTTATCCAAAGGATGCACTGCAACTGTCAACTGTCTTTTTTTTTTTTTTTTTAATTTTTTTTTTCAACGTTTATTTATTTTTTGGGGGACAGAGAGAGACAGCATGAACGGGGGAGGGTCAGAGAGAGAGGGAGACACAGAATCGGAAACAGGCTCCAGGCTCTGAGCCATCAGCCCAGAGCCCGACGCGGGGCTTGAACTCACGGACCGTGAGATCGTGACCTGGCTGAAGTCGGACGCTTAACCGACTGCGCCACCCAGGCGCCCCTGTCAACTGTCTTAATAACCCCCTTGTTTGAGTGGCTACTGCATTTTCACTTACTGAGAAACCTTGTTCTCTAGAAAAGCATCGACTATCAAAACCTTTGCTGTTTAAAATTGTATCAGTAAGAATAAATATACTATTTTGCCTCTGAGTCACTTTGACACAGAAGCAGCCTCAATACACAACTCAGATGCAGAGATTTAGACAACGGGTGCTAGACACATTTCACAGCTATCTTAACTGTACATTTGACCCCTGAAAAACATGAGTTTGAACTTCACTATCTACTTATATACAAATATTTTTGATTTAACAAATACAGTACAGTACTGTAAATGTATTTTCCCTTTCTTATGATTTTCTTTTCTTTTTAATGTGTATTTATTTTTGAGAGAGAGAGAGATAGGGAGGGAGAGAGAGAATGAGTGGGGAGGGTCAGAGAGGGAGGGAGACAGAGGATCAGAAGCATGCTCTGTACTGACAGCAGAGAGCCCGATACAGGGCTCGAACTCACACAGTGAGATCATGACCTGAACTGAAGTCAGATGCTTCACCGACTGAGCCATCCAGGCACCCCTCATAAACTTTTTTTTAAATATTGTGTATGGTAGTTAGAATAAGATTAATAAGTGAATTAAGATAATTAAGTGAATTAATTCGGTGAATTAAGATAATATAATTTTATGATATTAAGATAATATAATTTTATGTCTACTTCATGTCATAGTCCAGTGAAGAATTTGGTGGGAAGATATGCCGTATTATATTTCCAAAGATGGTCATGATGGTGTCACCAATACCATATTCTCTTTGGCGAGGTGACTTTGCCACTCCCCCATCAAGAGGCAGAGATTATTTTTCAGTTGAATCAAGGCAGGCTTGTGTGGCTACTTTAATCAATAAAATATGGTGGAAATGATGCTGTGCCGCCCCAGATAGAGTCCTTAACTTGCTAGCTGCTTCCATTTCCTGCCTCTTAGAATGTACACCACAAGATGCTTCCTCCTGGAACCCAGGCACCACGTTAAGAGAATCTTGAGCTACATAGAAAGGCCACATGTGGGTACTCCAGTTGACAGCCACATCTGGGTTTCTAGCAGACAGCTAGCATCAGCTGCCCGTACTGTGGACCTTCCTGGTCATCCATCTCAGTTGGTCCGTCAGATGACTGCAGTCCCAGCCAACAATTGCCCCAACCTATCTGCAGGGGAGTTGGAAAATAGAGTCCTCCTCTGTGTCTGAAAAATCCAAGGGTAGGCCTCACACATAGGTTGGTCAGGGCTCCATCTCTAATTATCCATTTCTCTACAAATCCCTGTACTTTGGCCCGGTGGCTGACTTCATTTTCAGGATGACTCCCCTCATGGTCAGTAAAAACCAAGGCTACATGCTTCTCCATTTATTTTCAAAGGCAAAGAAGAATTGCTTCCCACAACCATCTCAGTTCAGAGGTGGGGTCATTTGGTCTGACATTATCTCATCTTCCTTGTGGGAATAAAAATGTGGCTCAATATTTATTAGTTTGACATAAGGATATTATATTTGTAAATATTTATGAGCCCATCATCAGAGGATCACTGGAGGTTCTGGGTATGAATGTGCTTCCAAGCCCTTTCATCTGTGGGCCAAATTCACTTTCTTGTAGTTATAGGATTGAGATCTTCAGTTCCTTGCTGGCTATCACTCAGGAGCCAGTCTTTGCTCCTAGAACCTATCTGTGTAGATTCTTATGATTTGGATAAAGTCTTGGAAGCCTGTCTCCAGTAATTATTCATGTCTCAGAGCTGGCAACAGCATCTCAAGTATCTTTCACCACGAAGTCTCCCTGACTTCCCTTCTGCCATTTCCTGCAGTTTCCTCACGATTTTCTTCTTTTTTTTTTATAAACATTTTTTTTTTCAACGTTTATTTATTTTTTTTGGGACAGAGAGAGACAGAGCATGAACGGGGGAGGGGCAGAGAGAGAGGGAGACACAGAATCAGAAACAGGCTCCAGGCTCTGAGCCATCAGCCCAAAGCCTGACGCCGGGCTCGAACTCACGGACCGCGAGATCGTGACCTGGCTTAAGTCGGACGCTTAACCGACTGCGCCACCCAGGCGCCCCTTTAAAAAAAATTAAGTGTATTTATTTATTTTGAGAGAGAGAGAGGGAGAGAGTGTGAGCACAAGCTGGGGGGCTGGGCAGAGAGAGAGAGAAGCCCAGACAGGCTCTCCACTGCTGGCTCAGAGCCCAATGTGGGACTCGAACTCACAAACTGTGAGATCGTGACCTTAGCCAAAGTTAAGAGTCAGACATTTAACCAACTGAGCCACCCAGGAACCCTTCTCCAGGTACATATTCTTGCCTGTTAAACCTATTTCCTCACTGCCAGTTAACTTCCTTCTATCCTCCATCCTAAGGCATATATATTCCACACAACTCCCCCTTTTTAGGGAAGTCCCAATTATAAATATTTATTTCATAAATACTAATGTATCTGTGAGTCCTCATGTAAAAAAACAAAACAAAACAAAACAAAACAAAACAAAACAAAACAAAACAAAACATAACTTCAATATATCTCCATCCTGATCTCTGACACTTTTCACCTGGCATGTTATCTGGTGATTCTGAAAACATTGAGGACTAAGCAGCCTGTATAATGGACAGACTCCCACGGGTGCTCCTTTGTCCAGTGGGTGACCACAGTGAGGCTCTCTGTCTCGGTGATTCCCAGCGTCCCTATCTCCAGACTGCCTGAGATCTGGCTGTTTGGCCCCTTCTCAGTCTAACATTCAGACTCAGAGGTCCAGCTGCATGGCCAGCAGGTTCCTGAAAGCCCAAGTCACAGCTGGTGATGAAGTCACACCTGCTTCTAGTACCAGAGCAGAAGGAGGTACAGGCCCATGGAGGCCAGGTCGAACCACATGGCCGGGGTCTCCTCTGCCTTAAGACAGAGGGAAAATCTAAACTCACCCAGTTAGAATTTGGGTTTGCCACAGTTAGAGGCCCAAATCGCAGGTGCCTGCAATTTAACGTGTCATCTGTTCTACTTTCCAGCTATTATTGTGACAGCTATCAAAATAATTCCTATCATGTAATACTGGAGGTGGTACATGTACGCTGCCTAATCTTACAATCTTTGAGGACTAATTTAAATACAAGAATGCAAACTAATTCCTTCTGGATTATACTGACCACAGAATGCCATTTTGTGGTCTATCTGGTTTAACAATGATGGGTTTTTTTGGCTGCTGATTATTTGTGATTATGTAAAGAATGGTAATGTTGTAGGCAGGAAGAAATTGCTCAACACAAAGAGTCCCAACTTGAAGTCTACAGAAGTCAAATTGTCTAGTTTTCCATGCAATAAACTGCCATTTTCTTTTTTCTTTTCTTTCTTTTCTTTTTTTTTTAAGTTTATTTATTTAGGGGTGCCTGGGTGAATCAGTTGGTTAAACGTTCCACTCTTGATCTTGGCTCAGGTCATGATCTCACGGTTCATGACTTGGAGCCCCACATCTGGTTCTGTGCTGACAGTGAGGAGGCTGCTTGAGATTCTCTTCCTCTTCCTCTGCTCCCCCACTCACACACTCTCTCTCAAAATAAATAAATAAACCTTTAAAAAAGAAGCTGTAGGGGCACCTGGATGGCTCAGTCGGTTGAGTGTCTGACTTTGGCTCAGGTCATGATCTCGCCCTTCCTGAGTTCAAGCCCCGAGTGGGGCTCTGTGCTGACAGCTCGGAGCCTGGAGCCTGCTTTGGATTCTGTGTCTCCCTCTCTCTCTCTCTCTGCCCCTCCCCTGCTCGCACTCTGTCTCTCTGTGTCTCTCTCTCAAAATAAACATTAAAAAATTTTTTTAAAAAATACCTAAAAAAATTTTTTTTAACATTTATTTTTATTATTTTGAGAGGGAGAGACAGAGCATGAATAGTGGAGGGGCAGAGAGAGAGGGAGTCACAGATTCTGAAGCAGGCTCCAGGCTCTGAGCTGTCCGCACAGAGCCCGACGCGGGGCTCAAACTCATGAACCCCAAGATAAAGACCTGAGCCGAAGTTGGATGCTTAACTGACTGAGCCACCCAGGCTCCCCAGATTACTTCTCTTTTTAAAGAAAATATTTGAAACAATTTCAAGCCCACAGAAAAGATGCAAGAATAGTAC